GTGTGTGTGTGTGTGTGTGTGTGTGTGTGTGTGTGTGTGTGTGTGTGCTGGGTGAGTGAGGTCCTTCATGATGCAGGTGGCTCTCTTCCTGCAGCTAGAGGTGTAGATGTCTGTGATGGTGGGGATACTTACTCCAACAGACTTCTGTGCAGCCTTCACCACTCTCTGCAAAGCTTTTCTTTCTGCATAATAAGGCTACTGTTTTTATTTAGATAGATAGATAACTGTATATTCCAAGGAGCTCAATTTAAAAAGAGTTAACCAACGATTATTGAAATAACTGCATCCAAGTTTAAATATCAGAATGTTTGCTATAATAATAAAAACTTTGACAAAAACCTGTATGGCTGGGGGAAAAAAAAAAATCATGGAGAAATTAAACTGAAAATGTAGAGCTATTGGACATTTGCTGGACAGAATGACCATATTAATTTTTGTTCTGCCCTGAATATGTGCAGGTCCTGGTTGACCAGTGTGAGTTAGTGTGTCTTAAATACTAAAACATGAAGTTCACTGGCACCATGACCTAATTTTGACTCTCCACACATCAAACGGGGGACTGCTGGTGGATTTTGCAGACAGTCCTCCAGACTTTGTGCCTCATAATGTAGAGAGTGTTCAAACGTTGCTCTTTCCTAGTGGAGTGTGCGTCTAAAATCTGCTTCCACCGACTGTCTAATTTGCATATTTTTCATTAATAGCTACTGTAAGTGGGTTGTCATGATGGCAACTGCTGTTTTTTTAATCCAATTTTGTTAAGTGACAAATTTTGTTCAGGACTGATTTCATACAGGTTCACTGATCTCATTGCGGGTCGCATATTTACTTTCCACAATGTGGAATGTTAAGCAAAAGTAAAAGCAATGCAATTTTTATTTTTCTTCTTTCGGCTGCTCCCTTGAGGTCGGGCATATTTACTAACTAGTGCAACAGTAACGTGCAAAAAAATACAGTTTTCCATCCAAATATTAGTTTGAACTAGATTATTGATATGTTTGCCAAAATCAATATGTCAAATTGACTGTTAAAAGTGAAAGTGGGGCAGATATTCCAACATTCTCTAATCAGAAACCTAGACAGCCAGGTTTCTTCAATGATTTCATGTCCATGTGTTCCAAAATGCTCCACCAAATGTCACATCCAGCTTTATCTTTCTGCCTTGATCTTTTTTGCAGCAAACTGATTCCTACATTTCAGGACTGCTTCCTGTTAATCCTTGTTATGCAATTGCATCAGCAAAAGACTAATGCAAGCCTTCTGTCAACATAAATGAGCAACTTATGCTTCATCAGTTTGGGATGCTGTTGTGATGTAAGATGATTTGGCATGAATGAAGCAAGTGCCTTGTTTTTTAGATTATACCTTAGTTCAGGCCAAAAAAGCCTTTTAAATCTGTTATTGTTAAGGCTAATAAAGCAGAACATTAAAGTTCATGATACAACATGTGTGGTTGTTGTTTGTAGAACTGACTCTTAATGATCTTTCCATTTTAAAACTGAGCATTCCTTAACTTTAGTGTCAGCTTCATCTTCCACGAACAATAATGTACAAGGCATCCATCCATCCATTATCTTTACCCGCTTCTTCCTTTCCGGGTCGTCACTGGTGCCCATTTCCTCCAGTCACTGTGTGAGAGGTGAGGGACATGCTGGACAAATTGCAAGTCCATCACATGTGAGACAAACGAGACAACCATTCACTCTCTCACTCACACCTAGGGACAATTTAGAGTTGCCAATCAGCCTAACGTTTTTGTGCATGTTTTTAGTCTGTGGGAGGAAACTGGAGTACCCGGAAAAAACCCACACATGCACGGAGAGAACATGCAAACTCCACCCAGACAGGTCCCCAGTCAGGATTAGATCTGGTGACTTTCTTGCTGAGAGGCAACAGCTCTACCAACTGATCCACCGTGCCACCCTGTACATGGGATCATCTATTAAATTCCTGATTCACATTTTTGTTAAAAAAATAATGATGATAAAAAATTTTATGTAAAAAATGCTGTTGCTATTGTGATGGTTTACAATATTTTAATAATCCCAAGTCTGAGGGTGAAGGCAAGGTGATAACGTGTTACTTCGTGTCTCTGTGTGTGTGGGCGTGTGTGTGTGTGTTAAGGTGTTCGTTTGGTAGTGCCGTTAGCAAAATACCTCGCACCACTAAACCGATTTGAATAAATGTTTAAAAAGCAATCATTTAGTGTAAATTTACATCTAACTTTTAAAGTCAACTCAATTTAAGATGGCTGCCACAGACAACTGACCTTAGAAAACATAAAAACTGGAATCACTAGGCCAATATTGCAGATATTGAGCTAATATTTGGTGTGGAAGTAGCTAATCATCCCAGCCCATAATTTAAGGGCAACACGTTGTATTCATCTTTGCTCAAAACCTGTTGGAGTCAGCCCTGTTTTGTCTGTTAAGAAAATAGCTTATTAAAATGAATGAATTTCAGGGAAACTCGTGTATTAATTGGTTTTACAACTATTACCGGTAACTTTTGGAGTCAACTCGGTTCAAGATGGCCGCTACAACTAATCCACTTTAGCCACCACAAAATTTGCTATATACCTCTGAATTCAGCATATTGAGCTAAAATATCCTTTTAATATCAGATCGACAATTAAAATATGAAAGGTGGCGGGCGATATGCATTCCATCAAGGAATGCAAGGACTAATTATTTCTGTTTACATAATTGGGAGTCCACAGGGTTGTGTCTGTGCAATTCAAACACTACACAGAAAGGTCCCATGGCAGACAGATAACATTTTATCAGATTTTATTTTACTTTTGAGAGATTTATGAAAGCATGGCTTAAATCACAGCTCTTTTTTTTTATTTTTTATTTTTTTATTAAGGCATGGAGCCAAAACTGAATCACACTGTCTGGTTGCATCATGTTTTATTTTATTTTTGTTTTTCAGTGACAACAAAGTCACAGTAAAACTTTTAACGACTCCATATCTGCAGCTGTTGCATCACATTTGTGCTTTTTATGTCCAGTCAATGTAACTTTACTGCAGAAATCCAACCCAGTCTATAAACACTGAACTTGTGGACTGGCCTACATCAGTGATGACCCTGGACCCATGGGGTTTATCACATCAGACCTACTGTATGTAACACTGAGGTAAGATGAGAAGGCCGTATGGACCAGCATCCTCTTGCAGCATCACTGCAGCATCCTCCCTAATGATGCTCAGCATTGTGGGGTAATCGTTCGAGCAGAAATAGTATAACCAGATATGATGCATGGTTTTTTTTAAACAAGTGGTTCAAATTACGTGCCTTTGAGGGGAAAGCAGGAAAAAAGCAAGTGCCTTTTCTGTGAAACAAATGTGGCTAAAAACGCATAGCAGCCGTATGCGAGTAAACAGATGATGCAGGAAGGAGGATCAGCTTCCCATCATCACCATCATCATCAGAGGGCTTCCCGGTGCGCAGGCCCTCCGACATGCACCGCTCTGCAGACAACCCGGACACGTCCAACCCCCCCACCCCACCATGTTACCATATGCCGTGGCAGTCTAGTGTTACCTGAGCCGAGGCTCGTTTAAATCAGCACATCTCCATGATGGTTGCTGCTAAGATGCATCCGACTCTAACAAACAGGCCTAGACCGAGTACGTCCCACTTCAGACCGTGATGAAACCAAGAAAAACGCGGATCTCAGTGACTCACCTCCTGATGAATCCCGATCAGGTGGAACGTCCTAAGAAACCTCCATCCATCCTGGTGTCTCCTTTCGATCATGCGTTTGGATCGACCCCCCCTCCGCTGTGATGAGTGGGTCAGCAGCAGCTCGTACAATGAAGCAGTGATGGCGGGTGGTGATGATGCTGGGAGCCCCGCCCTCCTCTGCGTGCAGCGGGTACGCGATCATCCCCGCGGGAGCGCGCACAGCCTGTTGGTGTTTTTCACGGGAAGAGTCGCTGTTTCCGCTCCTTTTAGCTCTTGGAATTTAAAATGTTACTTAAAGATGGTTACCTCTTGTTTGTTTTGCACCCCCCCCCCCCCCCCCCCCAAAAAAAAAAAAAATCTGTGTCAGTCTTAAAGGGTTTGTAGTTGCTCATAAATTTCTTCTCTACATGAGATTATTATAATTGTTTCAAGTTTCTTTATTGTCATTCGCATCACTTGCATGAGGTGGAACGAAATTGTGTGCTCAAGATCCCAGTTACATCCCAAAGTAGCAAAAATATAAAGTATAAAAAGAAACGGTATATTATACGCTAATGAACGCTAAACAATACGTTAAAAGATCTAAGACATATGTGTCAAACTCAAGGCCTGGGGGCCAAATGTGGCCCTTGTTGACATCTTATCTTATCTGGCCCCCAAGATATTATTTTAAATGTAAAATACTTTTATCACTTTGATTTGTTTCAGTAATCTTTGATTGTGATGTCAAAAGTGCAACAAAGAACATCAAATGAGACCAATCAAACTCTTGTTGAGGAACCTGCGACCAAGAAAAGACATTGGATATCTGATTTGAGTTAATGTAAATGCTGAAAGTGGCACTTAGTTTGAAAAAGGTTTTAATTTTGGCCCCCTTTTGTGAGTTTGACACCCCTGATCTAAGATGTACACACTGATAATGTAAAACAATATGGTATATAAAATGGCAGCCCAAACGTGAGTAGATGCGTATGAATGAATAGCATGAGATCAGCAACATGGATAAGTCGCATATCATCAATTAAAGTGTCATTACAGTGATTTTTTATTTTTTTTCCCCTTACTGTGATTATCCTGGTTGGTGTCCCCTCAACTTCTAAAGGTCTTTCCTATTCCTCTATTCTCTATAGTGAATAGCAGTTTAAAATCAGGTGTGGTGCCAAAACGTTTTTAACAAGCTACTGTGCAACCTTTGCTGAAAAAAATCTTGCATTGACCCCTCAGTGGTGTCCAACTGTAGGCCTGTCTCTAGACTCCCATTTTTTATTTCCAAATTACTGAAAATAGCAGTTGATTCTTAGTTAAAATGTTTCCTGATCACTCTTATATTGGAGGTGTTCCAGTCAGGCTTTAAATCTCACCACAGCACTGAGAAGGTTTTTAATGTCCTTTTTAGCCATGGATGCTGGTGATTGTGCTTCTTGTCCGATTGGACAAGTGAGTGGCTTCAATCACTTAGTCTGACCCCCCCTCCTCCAAAATATGGTGTGTATATAGAAATTGTGGACAGTAATTTATATTTGATGTTATTTCATAGATTCCCAAAAAGGCAAATCAGTTAACAATTTATGATCCTGTAAAACTGTTCAACTGCTCAACTTTGATCAGATATTTAAAAAAGTATATATGCCCCCACACACACACACACACACACACACACACACACACACACACACACACATTAGTCCTTTAATACAGCCAACCTGCCATCCTTGTGCTGGTTTATAAAAACTTAGAAGAAAACACTTCTCAGACCAGATTTTTTTTTCTATCCAACTGCTTTGGGATTTAACTTTTGAGCACGTGTCTCACCATTTCACAGTGAACACGTATGTTTATTCCATGTTAGACTCTTGAGTCTGTTTCAACATTTACCTTGAGCCGTTGGTTTGGATTTTTAACATGAAAGAACAGGAACAAACTCTCGGGGATTGTCAGGATGTGCAGCAAAACTGCTGGCATAGCCCTACAGAACCTCACTGACCTTCACAAGGTGAGGTCAGTGAACAAGGCTAGGCTGATTCTGGCAGATCTTGATCACCACTCCATGGTGAGTTCAGGTTGCTTCCGTCTGGACACTGGTATCTGTTTGTTGCTCAGGTGTAGAACGAACATTCTGAAAAGCTCATTTATCCCTGTAGCGATCAAGCTTCTTGGTAAACAGTGATTTCTGTACGGTTATTTTAGTCTTGTCTAGTATGGATGTTTTATGTGTCTACTGACTTTGAATCAAATTGCCCCTTGGGGATAATAAAGATGCTTGAACTTGAACAATGTGGGCCAACATCTAGAGTTGGTTTATAGCCACAGTGTCTCTTTCACTCATCCCACTGTTTGTTACTGAAAATAATCCAAGATACTCTTTGACAGAAAAAAAACAAAAAAAAACTCTTGTTCCAGTCTAAACTGAAAGGTAATATTCATTAATGCTTCTTCCAATTCAAGTGAAGGGTGTAGTAATTTTGGGTCTTTTTTTTATGTTTGGCTCAGTAGTCCACTGTAGATAAATGTTTGTATTGACCTTGCTTATATTGGACGTTTATTGTTAATCTAATAAGAAAACAGGATTGTTTGGTTTTGAGAATACAGTGTGAAAATACCTGGTCTGTTATAGTTTTCAGAATATCGTCATTCCCATTAACTGTTTCTTTTCTCGGTGTGTGTTATTGATATTGGTATGCTCACCAGTCTGTTTGTTAAAATGGGGAAAAATCATCTTTTTATTTGGGCAATGGTGTGCGACAAGGCAACATGTTGTCTCCTTGCCTTTTTAACGTACAAGATTTATCTAAGCTGTTGAATCAATGTAGGACTGGCTGTCGGGTTGGATATAGAACTGTCAACCACCTGATGTATGCTGACGATCTTGTAATCTTTTGTCCATATAGCGCTGGTTTGCAGCAACTGTTAAGGGTTTGCTCTCCGTATGGATTTGTTTTTGATATTAAATATAATGAAAAAAGAGTATTATCATGATTGTCAGGAGCAAAGAAGACACTAAACTGTCTTTCCCTGACTTCACTGTGTCTGGCAACATCCTCCAAGTCAGTGATGAGGTGAAATACTTGTGACATTACGTAACCGCTGATCTGTCTTGATAAGGACATTTACAGGCAGCGTTGTATGCAATGTGTACAACCTAATACACTTCTTCGGAAGTTCTCTATGTGCTCAGTATCTGTAAAAAATGTACTCTTTAAAGCATATTGTACTCCAATGTATACTGTCCAGCTGTGGCGGCATTACAGAAAAAGCAGCATGCATAAACTTCAGGTGGTGTACAATGATGGCATGAGGATGCTGCTTAAGGTGCAACGATGGAGTAGTGCCAGTCAGATGTTCGTAAATGCCAATGTACAAACTTGTGCTGCCGTGCTTCGAAACCTTATGTACAGATGAATGTGTACACTAACAGACTCTGTAAATAGCATCATTTATACTCTGACCAACCCCGTACAAAGCTCTGTTCGGTTCTTCTCTAGGCTGTGGAATCACTGGCGCCTTAATTTATATGGCAATGGATGAACATTCAAATTTTTATTGTCTTGTCGTTGTTGATTTTGCCTGTTTTTGTTTACTATGGACCATGTATGTGTCTGAATAGAAAGTTTTTGATTGACTGATTATTGCTCTGCCAGCCTGTAGCTGACATGAATCAGAGGGGTCTGCCTTTTGATCGAGAAACCAAAAACTCTTCAAACCTCTCACCTGAACAGCAGAAATCCTTTGGTTTTCATAAAAAATATGGCAAAGCAGAGAACTATACAGCAAATTAGTGAGGCAATCCTCATTCGTGTGAGAAATATGCTCTGAGGAGAAAAGGGCCATCAAGAACAAAAATTGTATCTGAAGCCATTGCAAATTTATTGTAAAACATGTAAATGTCTAATTTACAGTAGTTATAGGAACCGTCTTATCACACAAATTGTTTTGTATCTTCACTATATGATCACTGTTGGCCGAATGGTCTATAACAAACAACTTTCTGTTTGAGTGCTTTAATAAAACTAATATAAATATTATGGCCTTACAAATACATCATGTCAAATAGCATAGTAACAGTGTTTGTCTCCAACAGAAATGATGCTGGGTTCTCTTTATCTCAGTTAATCCATTTGAAGATGTCAAAGAAGTAAAACACAAGTCCACCCGAGAGACAGTGATTTTTTTTTTTTTTTTGAAGTGCTTTAAAAACATTATAAAAACAGTCACAGACTTTTCAGAGAAATGCACAGTTAAGACACTAACACGTTTGGAAAAAACAAGAATGACCTGTTAGAAGTTCTTTTTAATGTTCTGTAATTAGCTGTTTGCAACTTTTTTCCTCATTAAACTGACCTTTATGATGAACCGTTGATGGTGGGAGGATGTGAGCTGCAGAGCGCCACATTTTCAGATGAGACACTCCACGTAAGATCATGTAAAACATTTGATATTCGCACAGACAAGTTCATTCTTGAAGGCTTTATACATTTTGTTTGATTTGCATCATGGCTGGCATCAAGGCACTAAGGAGTGTGTGTAAGTGTGTGCATGTGTGTGCATGTGTGTGGTAGTGCATAGGTGCAGGCGGACTTCAATCCACTTCTGTGAGGCCACATGGCCTCCTGAACTCTTGTCCTCGTTCATGGATCCACTTGTTTGACACTAAAAACAGAAAAACACATCTAAGCATATTGTCTTGCAAAGCCAGAGTAGTAATGTGAGGAAAAAGTTTTGAATATCACCAACTAATTAAATTTAATAAAGTGCATATTTGTATTCTGTTTGTTGGTTTTACTAATAAATTACTGGCAAATTTGAATAGTTATGAACTTTCTTTAAATTGTCCATTCATTTTGAATGCTTTTTAAAAAAAATTATTTTAATCAAATTATTTAAAAACGAAGTCATGTAGAGTTGTAATTTTATTTTATTTGTAAACCTGCTTCAGTGAATGATAAACGTGCATTCGGTGTCAACTTTGACTCACCCCATTTACTTCCTACAAGAACAGGACAGGCTGCATGTCTCGTCCTGTAGTCTCCCTCCCCACTCCTGAAGAGATTATACCAAAACACTGCTGTCCCCTGCAGACAAATAACGACCAAAAAAAAGAAAAAAAAATAGCATTATAGTAAAAGCTAGTGCACAAAAAAGACAAATTAAAGATCATCTAGGTATTATGTGCTTAATGTTAAGAATCCCTCATCAGATCATTTGATTGACTGAATTCACACAAAGTTGTGGTTGATTTTGCACGCTGAGGTGCAACAAAGAGCAAAAATACCAGGAAACCTAGCAGTTTATTTACACCACTAGCACAAAGGCAGTCAATACAATTTATTTACCTTCACATATGCAAGCAGTAACGAAAAACCTCAAGATAGAAACAATGAGTACACTCGGTTATTACCTTCCTGGGCCAGATTGCTGCCCCAAAGTCCGGGAAGACTGTGGCACCTCCTGCTTGAACATCACTCATCTGAGAAAATACAACAAAATAAGTGATATGTATTTTATATATTAAAGATTAACTTCAGATTAAATAAAATTACACATTTGTGAATGATGTAACCATGAGTCCCTTTGCCCTTTAATTATTTTGCTTCACATGTGTCTGCACAGTCACAACAAACTTTAAAAAGGAATCAAGCACAACTGGGTGGTGAGCCTCTCATGCATACATTCACATCATGCTGTTTACAGAAATTCACGGCCAGCCAGATGAGACTGTCTGGTAGTTTATCTTTGTAAGATAAAACTTTCCTTCAACTACGCTGTCGTCTAGCATCAGACAAAATACTTGTTGGCGTATTTTAAATTAGCTAGCTATCACAAATTTAAATGTTGTGATTTTACCTTTAATACATTTGTCATCAGTAATCCAGCAAAAGCTCTGACCACATTTAAAGTGTTTAAAAAATAAAACAAAATGCAAATAATTGAGATTAAATTTTCTATTAAAATATAGCAAATGAAATTCTTTCAACTTTTTCAACTACAAAATGTTTCTGTGATGACCAGTTGTTTTGACTCTAGGGTGGTCCATTGTATTTTTTATTGAGGATTGAAGCACCAGAACAGGCCTGAACCTCCTTTGATGCATTTTTATTTTATTTTATTTATAATCCATCAATTATTTAATGAGCTAGTCTGGACTGAAAGCAGACCAGTTTAGTTCTCACTTTAACAGAGTTCTAACTGTGAGCAGTTATCAACGGTACTGTCTCACTGAAATTAATAAAACCTTTGCAAGCAAGTAAATATCTATCCAAAAAAAATATTGTTCAGCGTTAATATTGTCCTTAAAGTGAAAGTTACATTTGTTATGAGCAATAATGGACTTCTGCACTATCACAGACGCTGACTTTGGAACTTAGAATAATGGTCCTGTTTTCGTCAGTCAGTCAGTCAGTCAGGAAATAAGGAAGGAAATGAGGAAGGAAGGAAATAAGGAAGGAAGGAAGAAAGTAAGGAAGGAAGGAAATAAGGAAGGAAGAAAGTAAGGAAGGAAGGAAATAAGGAAGGAAGAAAGGAAGGAAGGAAGGAAATAAGGAAGGAAGAAAGGAAGGAAGGAAATAAGGAAGGAAGGAAGAACATAAGGAAGGAAATAAGGAAGGAAGGAAGGAAATAAGGAAGAAAGTCAGGATGGAAATAAAGTCATGGAGGAAATCAGGAAGGAAGGAAGGAAGGAAGGAAGGAAAAATGAAGTAAGGAAGTCAGGAAGGAAGAAAGGATTGATAGATGGATAGATATAGATACTGTATTAATCCTGGGGGGATTCGAGATGCATTTTGTTAAATTATGCAGCGTTTTAAAGTTTGCAGTCAAACTGCAATCCGATGTTTTAGTAATAAAAAAATACAATAAAAGAAAATCTAAATAAAGCAAAGTAAAACGTTTAGAGTTTGTATCTTTTTGCACTTGCAGTGGTCTGCAAAGGTGAACCTCTACAGTGGTTTCCTCCAGAGCAGTCTTTTTTATGCTGTTGTCTAATGGCCTGGGAGTACTTGCTCTTTAACATTAGTTCATTTTCACTAAAATATCTTAAGTTTTAGGATCAAAGCCAAATTATACTAAACCAAAATCTTTTCTTACTAAGAACACAATCATCTTGACATGCATCCAATATCTTGAAGCTAAACATTAAACGGTAAGAGGAAAACAGATACAGGCTTATTAATTGCAGGTTAAAGGGGAAAGGCTGGCAAAACTCTTCACAATGTGCACTGGAACTGATTGACGGGAATTTATTGGTTTTAGATATTCAGATAGATCTGTGATCTATATGATGGTGAACAAAATTCCACAAATAGGATTTATCCAGCACAATGTTTCATATTCAAATGACTAGTTAAAATGCTAAAACCTTTGGAAGTCAATCAGTCCAAGTCCAAGATTGACCCAGAGCTGATGCTTCTGCCCGTTTAGCCAGAAGTAAAGGTTGGAAACAGATTCTGTGTGGCTGCCACAACTAGTCTTCAATCGGCGGTGGCTAAATGCTCGTACTTACGTAGTTTAAAAAAGTCGCCACGCGATTTCCAGTGCCTAACCTTTTGAAAGCATCAGGCTCATCTTTCTACGAAGATAAAATTTAAGAGTAAAATACAAGACATGAACGGTACACACACACTACTTACATAGTTTAGGAAGGTAGCAAGTCTATTCCCATCGACCTTGAGGTTGCTGTCAAAAGGACGCTGCAACAGATGTTTATATGTTTAACCCTTTATCAGTAGGACTCATAAATGGAGCCTTGCTACTTAAAGCACATTCAGTTATCTGTCAACAGTTTGTTTTCCAACAGTTAAACATCTTTAGGTTACAGTAGTCCCTCGTTTATTGCGGGAGATCCGTACCCAGAAGCCCCGTGATAAGTGAAAAACCACGAAATAGGAATAGTAGTACAAGTCGTAAATAGTAGAGTTGCATTCAGGCCTAAAAAATCTGAGCCGGCTTGGATTGAACCCGTATCATTTTTTCAGAGACCGACCAATTAACTATGATTACAGGCTTGAACCCATGCACCCAAAAACTTTTATTTTTATTTTAAATTAAGCTTTTACTGCTTTTGTAAGCAAATCATTTTGGCATGATTTAAAAACGTATTTCAAAGAAAGGAAGATATAAGATTTATTGTTTATTAACAAGAGTCAGCAGATTATAGCTATTATAATATTATAGTTATTAACGATCAGAGGACGCGTGCGGCTGAGTCCAGTTAAGCTTCAGGCGGGTTGCTGGCAGTGATCCATCTGGACATTTTGTTTTTTACTTCCTTCAACCGGCTGGTCAGCACGCGGTTGGTGATCCAAATTGGATCGTCAGCCATGCACGTCCACTGATGCAATCAAAAGCCTGACACCGACTCGGCCCACCCTTCCAGCACATTATTTTGGCCCGGCCTGAATTTTCTGGTCCGAAAATTGAAATACAATAGAAATTACAGCTCTACAGCTAGCGCTCTCAGCCACGCCCACTTCTCAGCTGCAGAGCGGAGATCATGACACGCTGCAAGATGACGCTTCTCCTGCAGCTGTGGGCCGCACACAGGTGCAGCAGGTGCTAAATAATTTAAAAATTCCATGCCGATCATGCAGCTCGTCCATCAATCAGCCATTTGTGTGTCATGTCCAATCTTATTTTGAAAAACCGCGATTGAGCGAGCCCACAAAAAACAAACCGCGAAATAGCGAGGGACTACTGTATTAGTTTTTAAGCTCAGAGTGGGTACACAAGAATTTGCACTCATTAAGTTTTATTTTTAAAGGCATACTATGCTGATTATCTAAAAAAAATAAAATAAATGTTGATAATGACAAAAGTATTATTATTAAAAGTCTGTATTTTCGCCCTTTTGATTTTTGCTCTGTTGAGGGCACTTTTAGCCCACCACCTTTTGGGTGGAGAGTGAACATGCATAAGCCATTAATGTGAAAAAGTGGCGATAAATAAATAAAATAAACAGATGTCAGATCTGTTTTAATGTGCAACGATAAGCTGAGCTGACAAGTTCACAAAAAGTAACTGCTTAGTATGCCTTTCAGAGTAATTCATACATTAACTGACAGATGTCAATGTCAATTAATTTATATAACACATAAAAACAACAACATCTGACCCAAAGTGCTTTACAATTTAGTCAAATTAAAATGAAAGCAAGAAGAACAAAAATCAAATACACCTTGTGCCACTCAGTAGAACAAGAAGGTAAATGATGAAATGCAACAATAAAAATCCGATATAACTGGTTACACTCTGCATGGATCAAACGCCAAGGAAAAAAGATGAGTTGTGAGCAAAGATTTAAAAGTCTCAACAGACTTTAAATGATCAGTTAAACTGATAGATATAAGACAGATATAATTAAGAGTTTTACGGAATGTTTTTTTTTTTTTTGTTGTAAGGCGTAATGCATCCACCCTCTCTGGTGAAGGTGAATACATGTACTAATTAAGCCATGAACAAAAAAGAACATTCATGTCAAAAGAAAAAGCTCAATATGTAAAAATCATACAAATCATTGTAGTTTGCAGACGGACATGGACACAGAGTGGCAGCAAGAGCCAGAACTCACCCTCGAGAAGTCGAAATGTGGCTCATACTGTCCTCCAACTCCATAGTTTGCAACCTGATGTCATTCAAAACACAAGTCAAACACACAAAAATATCATAAATAACTGCTTCTATCCACTGAAATCAAATGCCTCGTGCATAGTCTAAAATAAAACATCAACTACCACAAACCTCAACTAAAATCAAAATCAAAAATCTGGCTAAAAGCTTTAATAAATTCAGATGGTAACTTTTTTGGCTAGGCAAAGCAGTTAAAATGAAAGTATATGCGTAAACAAAAGCCTATAAATCTACAAGCTTTTTAAAGCTCCAATCAAATGTGAACTATTGTGCAATAATGAAGTATGACGAACATTACCTGCAGTAGTTCTGCAGTTTCTACTGTAAGCCCGGTGATGTCTTCTATTCTCTGATTAACTCTTTCAATGATAACGTCCTCTTCTCCTTCCAACCAGGCACTAAAGAAGCAAATATGTTTCACTTGCACAAATTACATGTTTGATTTGTGAAAAGATGCAACTTTTACTTCTTTTCTGGAGTAATAAAACTTTCCTGCTGCGTGTAAACATGTATAACTTTTTTAAATGTTAAAACAATAGTTTAAGATTGTGCAGTTTTAAAATGCTTATCTTTTAATTTGTGTATAAACCAAAGCTTCATAATGTCTGAGAATAATTTAAAAAAGGAATGCAGCAAGCATATGCACAGTAAGTCAAAGTTGTAATAAACATAAAACCATTAAAGTGAGAGAGAAGTATGATTAGATAACAAAAATCACCTTTTTGATACTCTGTAGTTGGCTGTAGTCAAAACTCCTGTTTGGGGGTCACGGACAGTGGCTCTGGCAAGCTTCCAAAAACAAAAGAAACATTAAACAAGTCAAAATAAAAAAATTCTTTACTCTAATTGTTTTACTCTTTCAATTACCATATTTTCTTCGGTGGCAGTCTGTGGCAAGCAGATTGTATCATTAATAGCCACTTTTACCTATTACATGATACAATGGCATGCCACATTTGAGTGCCATCTAGCGGCTGAAAATGGTAGTGTTTAATATTTTTAGTCAGAATGAATGAAAACGCGTCGTAGCTCAGTCAAAAATTGGATTATAAGTATGGGGGGGAAAAACATAAATACGTCTCTTCAGCCTATAAGTCACAGGGCATGCAAATTATGCACATACGAAAAAGTGACTTATACAGCGAAAAATACGGTATAAGCATTTACAAGGTTTCCTGCATCAACACTACAGTAAACTTGTCAAAAACATGCACATGCAAATACATCCAGGATGTAAACAATCAAAGTTTAGTTTGAAATTGTTCCGACCGTAGGAAGAATTCAATGACTGCCTATTTTAATGCTGAATAGAGGACACCACATTTCACAGCTTTTATAAGTGATGCACTGTGGGATAGAAATAGTTTTGAGCAAGTATTTATACAAACTAGATATATATTAAAAACTTCTGAATTATTGTAGCATAAAAATTCAGATAATATCTCAGTTTAGGATTAAATTAAAATGATAATTACAAGATATTTTTCTCATTAAGCTGTACCCCTTGTTGTTTTTGTAACAATACCCACACCAGTGAGTCCAGAAATGTTTAGATAAAAACTTTACTGGGGGCTGAGATGGTGTAGAGGTAGGGCAGCCGACTTGGTACTTGAAAGCCACGGTTCGACTCCCTGCCATGCACACATGTTGTGGTGCCCTTGAGCATGACACTCAATGTTGCCAAGTCCACCTCTCTGCCACCATCACACCCAGGCCCTGCACCTGCTGCGGGCTCTACAGATACCAAGTCTTTGTCATATTGTCTGGTCATCTCATGGCTGAAGCATCCAGCGTTCTCATTCTTGTTCTGGTCCCTGACCTATTTTCATAACCACGAAGATCTCACCCTTGCCTTGCCCATGACGGATTACAGCAGCCATCAGATATATGGACCTCGATTCTCACTCTGCCTCTTGACCATTGATTTTCACCTAGCCTTGTGTTATTGCCTTTTCTAACTTTTTTGTGAATGACCCATGCTCCTGTTTTTTTTTTATTTTATTTTATGTTTTTATTTTATTTATTTATTTTTACCACAACCTCAGAACCAAGCTCCTCACTCTGAAGAGAAGGGTTTTGTCGGACCTTCCAGGCTCACTCACCAATAACGTAATCGCAGCATCCTCAGGATTTTACCTCTTGACTGAACTTTAAAATAAATATTTTATTTTCACTCGTGTGTGTGGTTGAGTTTCCGGGTCCCTCTCTCAACATATTACAGTACAATCTGGCTGAGACAGGTCGTGGATGTAGCTCTAATATAGAGCGGGCAACAGGTGCAGGGCACGAGAGTGATAGCGGCGGCAAAGTGGGCGTGGCGGTGGCAGAGAGCCGAGATCATGACACCCAATCGCTAACTGGGCGCATACATAGCTGCCCACTGCTGCACCTGCCGGGTGTATCTCAGGTGTGATGGGTTGAATGAAGAGAACTAATTTTGTAATTGTATGGGAACATACAATGATGGCAACTTAGTTTAACATATCACAAGTAGTGTGAAACAAACAAGAAAATCTAATGTATGTATTGTTAGTCTCACCCTCGGTTTTGCCAGCTCTTTAATCTTCTCAATCTCTTCATCCGACAGCATTTCCAGGTAGCGCACGATGTGGGGATTGTCCCACTCGTCCTCCTCCTTCATGGGCTTCAGCAGGAGACGAGGGTTCCTGTCGCCATCTTGGTAGCGGCAGAACAGACGGCTTTGCCTGGCTACAGTCTGGGAAAGAATAAAAAAGTAGAAGTACATTGTTATAAGGCTGACTAAAACAACTGGTAATATAATCCATGATTAAATATGACTGGTACTTTTGTTGTAACTTAGAAGACATAATCTTGCTGTACATATGTCATGATATGTTTTCAATAATGGTTGATATTCTGTACAATAAGCTGCTGGTTCACTTTGTACTGTATATCTATCACACGTAACATGTATGTGAAATACTGTAGAAACTATTGCTGAAATTAGTACATAAATACTACCATTGAAAAGTGGAAACAGGCATTTTTAGGGGCACTTCAGAGCAGTCATGGTGTAAATAATTTTCAAATACTTTTGTTCATTTTGGACAAAATAAATAGAAAATTCCCTAAATTTCATAAAGTAAAATGTAGCTTTTACTTCAAAATTCTTGAACATACTGGTAATACACATTGGCCTTAAAAAATGCTGATAACATCTGCTGCTCTTGCCATTTTTCTTTCTTCACATCTTACCATTTGTACCCCCTCTCCTCTGCACAGAGCCTCATAGGACTCCCTCTCTGGGAGGTGGTCTTTGGGTCGGCTGTAGGTCCCCAGCTGGATGGGTTCTTCAGTGGCAGGTTGGTCGGCTTGGTTCATCTCAGTGAGCTGCTTGGACAGCAGCCGCTCAAAGTAACGAAGGTTGCCTCCTGCCCTGTCGTGGTTTGGGTCTGTCAGAGTAAAAAACATGAATTAGTCATTTCTCTAAATCTTCTGCCTCACAAGAAAGGTCTCAGTTAGTGCTGACTGTTAGTGTGCCACACCGAATTTTCAGATGTTTTTTAACTGAAACTCTTATTAGGCATCATGAATTCGTTAAGCTTACTTATATCGTCATAATAATTCACACACAGCTGATACAAACCGAATAGAAACTATTAATTTCTTGCATTGACTCAACCTTCAATAGGCTGGAATATACTGGCTGAGAGTTAAAGTAGGATGACAGAACAAGTCAGGCCCTTTAGTGGAGATTATGAGAAAAATAACATCCACATGTAAAAAAAAAAAATAAAAAATCTGTAATAGTCTGTGGCTTAGAAAAAATCTGGAAGTTTCTTAAAATTGGAATGTTGGGTCATAAATAAAATCAAGATTTACACGAGATTTACACCTTTCAGATTCTTTCTGCTAACTACAACATTTTTGTGTTTCTTCTTCTTTCTGCTAATTTCAGCTTGTTATGCAAGTTTCAGCTTTTTCTTCTATTTCAGCTGCTATAGCGATGTTTTATGCTAACTTAAGCTTTTGCAGCTAATTCCACATTTTTCACACTCTTTTCTACTTCATTACAACCTCATTCAGCAAAAACATGCTCTCTCCACTTCCTTCTGGTAGTTTAAGCTTCTTTCTGTCTTTTTTTTTTTTTTTTTTGCTAATTTAATATTTTTCTGATAATTTCCACTTATTTGTGCTCATTTCTGCTTCTTTAAGCCTAATTGGACAAACGTGTGTTCTTTCTGCTTTCTTATGCTAATTTAAGCTTGTTCTACCTTTTCAGTTACCATTTTAGCTAATCTCTGCTGTTTTCAGACAAATTCAAGTTGTTCATGGCAATGTTTGCTACTTTGACTTCTTCATGATAATTAAGCTTATTATGCTACTTTCAGTTTTTTTTAGCTAGTTTCAGCTTTATCTGATATTTCAGTTAGCTGTTTCTATGCTAATTTTAGCTTTTTCAGCTAATTCCACCTTTTTTTGGGGGGGGGGGGGGAGGGGCTCATTTCTGCTCTTTCCACTTCCTTCTGGTAGTTTAAGCTTCTTTCCGCATTTTCAGCTAATTTTCAACATTTTTTTTTTTGTTTCTAATTTCAGCTGTTTTAGCTCATTTCCTAAGTTTTGTGCTAATTTCTGCCAATTGAAATCTTAATTCAGCAAATAAGTATTCTTTCTTCTCTCTTCTGTTTAAGTAGGCTTATTCTTCCATTTCAGCTACAATTCAGCATGTTTTATTTTTACCTAATTTCAGCTGTTCTTCAGCAATAAGCATTCAAAAAGTATTTTCGCAGTAAATGCAATTTCTCTAGTCCCTGTTTTTTTTTCTCAGTATTACCAGAATGCTGAGTTTCTTATGGTTCTTTTATGTTTCTTTGGGGAATTTTCAGTTCAAAAGCGGAACCAAAAAGTGTCTATCTGCTCTGTATAAACCATTTTACTGTTCACTTTGTTCCATTCAGAACGAAGTGGGTCTGCATCAACTTGAACTAAATTCTTTTCATATGACATGTAAACAAGGACACCACAGTTCTAAGAAGACGGTCTGCAGCTGTCCACAAAGCTCTTGGTTCAAGAATAACTGTTTAAAACCACCAGCCCTTACATGGAACAGACAACACCCCATGGCTGTGGTAAGCACAGTCAAACCAAAGCTAGAGGAGAGGGTGGACTATAGTTATTAGTGAAAAATGAAAATGTGAACCCATTCATTTTGTCACATTATAGAATTGTGGTTTTATTGGTTGACTACTATAGGAAATAAAGACAAAATATAAATGTGTTCTTGAAATAGAAACTGCTGTTTTAGTTTGTCACATACTAAGCTTTAGTTGACCACTGTTGGTGTTTCAAGACTGCTTTTTGCAACTTACCAATGGCCACAAGCCGCCGGGTCAGCACAACAGCTCGAGGTAAGTCGCCCATTTGGTAGACGGAGTAGCTAAGGTAGTCCAAAATATCCGCCTTGGAGACCACAGCTTCTTCTCCATCATCCAGCTGCTTCAGAGACTGCTGGAACCACAGCACAGCGTGGTAATAATCTGCATCGTTGTACGCCGTCTTTCCCATGTCGAAGCAGTCGTCCACTGTCAGTACGGTGTTAGAGTGCACACCTGCAAATTTTTTTTTTTAAAGCATCTCTGTTTTATCAGTAATTTGATTTTCTCACAATAAAACTTCCTTATTAAAGGATTGATAATGTTATAAAAATAAAACCAGAGCTTCTAATGACTTAAAATTGCCCATTTTTAATGAGCCAGGGCAAAAAAAGGAAAGAATCAGACCAGGCTTGTGTTGACACTCGTTTTGTGGCTGTTCATCAACAATTGACAATTTAACTCTAAACTTTAAACCTATAGACACACTTCATGTGCATTATGTCCGAACATACTTTGTAGGTTCAGTTTATTCATATATAAATGCTTCTTCCCCAATCATTAAACAGTCATGGACTACCTGGCAACTTTCCTTTTGAGAACGCTTCTGAATCCAGCTGGTATGTGTCTTGAAGACGCATCAGCGCCTTGGCTGCACCTGTTTGGTCCTCCTCATCTGGGAAGTACTGTCTGTGTACAGACATGTTGGCAATGAATCCTGAAAAGAGAGCAAGGATGCTTAATGACAATTATAAAAATGATTAATTCAATAACAAATAATGACATCCACCATGTTAAAAGGGACATATTATCACACTTGTACATTTATGATAAATGGCCTGATTGGCTCTTTAAATCTTGTCACTTTTATCTTGCTGCAAAAAAAGGGGTTCACTGTAGGAAAGGAACTTTTGTGTAGTTTTGTTGTATTTTACAAAAAGCATGTGACATTCATTCATTCAACCTTTATTTAGACATATAAGCCACATTGAGCCTAGAAGACTCATTTACAAGTGAGATCTGTTTAGACAGACAAAAATGTAGTAAAACTGGACACGTAGGAATTGGGAGGCGAAAAAATTCCCATCAGACTTTTTTTCCTGCCTGAGAAGAAAAAACTCCGATATTAAAAAACCCCTTGCACAAACAAGCACATAGTGACATAGACATTCTGCGAGGAGGGGAGACGACGAGAGTGGTCAGCATGTTCATAGATGCTCTTGAGGTCACTGTACGAGTTCTGATAAGGATGTAATAATCAGCCAATGTCCACCGGTGAGATCCATAATCATTCTCGAGGTATGTCGAGGAATGGCCAAGAATAACGACTGAGAATCCAAGAATCCTAAAATGACACAAAGTTTATTCAGCTGGTTTCATCTGGTTATCAGTTGGAAATTCCTCAGAGAGGAGGTGGTGAGCGTCAGATCACATGTTCTCCAGGCGAATTCAGATGAGGTGGCTTTCAAGACCAGCTAAGGGAGCCAAATTCAGATAAACACACATATGTTTTGGGGACAGGCAGAACTTAATGACATCTACCTTGAGTCTGTGTTGGTCGACTCGGTTCTGAAATGTCAAAATTACATGGCCACACTGATGGAACGTGACTGAGTAAAATCCCAGAGATTTGATCCATTCAGCCTAAAGCATTTGAGTCCGGGTACTCGAGACACGAACCAAGCCATCATAAAGGCAAGCAGCGTGATCAGGTCCACAATTTGCTGCCGACGACTTCCTTGATTGATTGATAAAACCAGCAACCAGCCAAATCCAAAACGCAGGAACCAGTTATCGTAAATCCTATTAAATATGTGTCCTTAAAATCCACAAATGGCAGCAGAGATAGACACATCTTCAAGTCGATGAGATATCCAGCTGCGTGCGTGCCAACAGGGCAAATTGGCTCGCCTAAAGACTGTCTTCTCTTCGAAGAAATGTTGTAAATTGAGTTGAGGGACCAACTGATCAAAACAAGTCCATAATTATGGTTCGGAAGAAATGCAAAAGAGGCTCAGAAGCAGTTTCACAGACAGACAGAGCAGCAAAGCAAAGCGGAGAGGGAGGGGAAATGCGTCCGATCTCGGCAAGAGCAAGTGAAGACATAAATTTCATTACTACTTAAGACATTTGAACCAGCTTGTATGTTCCCTTCAATTTTAAAATACCAGTTGGGTTAAAAAAAAACAACTGACAAGTAAATTGAATAAATAAAACAGTTCACACAGAACAGTGGCTCAATGGACACATTGCCAAATGTGTAAAACATTAAAGATTATGTTCAAATACAAACACATACTTAAACATGATGAACAATGAGAAGCACCATTGTTCTACTTTACTGACTACTTTATGTTTTAATATTTTACATTTCATATATTTCCACCAGAAACAGGTTTTACCCTTAGGCTGACACCTTTTTAACTTCTAGTGTCCGTTTAAATGCTTTCAGCTGAGTGCCAATAACTTAAAGTGTAATGTGAAGTGTAACCATTTCATAAAAAGCATTTCATTCAAAGTCTTATAACTGTGCATATCCTCTCCCATTACTGTCTGACACCATTACATCACCAAGTTCAGAACATATTTGTGTTTCACAATAGCAAACTCAACCATGAAACAGGCTGGAGAAGAAAAAAAAAATCCACGCTGAATTTAATAAAAATCTTGCACCAATCTGTGTTTGAAGGTTTACATCCAGCCTTTCCACTCCCGCTCTAACAGCCACGTAGGCAAATTCAAACTCAGGCTGTTTCTGTTTAACTGCTTCAAACTGATAAGGGTCTGTGTCATAACATGCATGCACCCCCCCCCCCCCCACACACACACACACACATAGAAAGAGAACATGGCCAAAATATGCATAGATGGAGAGCAGCTGCAGTCAAAACATGACCGGCTCAGTTTTTCAACAGTTTGTTTAAGGAGGGAGGCCTTTGAGCAAAGCTGCACAGCAGAAATTTCCACTCTGCAGCCAAAACTTTATCACTCCACACCCATGTTCCAAGTTCATTTTATTATTTTTGTTGCACTTCACTAGATGGTAAATATCTCCATTATCATGTTCTGAATCTATAAGAATCAGAATGAGAGTGCCTTTATTGTCATTATACACAAGTACAATGAGATTGAGAGCCACTCCTTTTTCTGTGCAAACACACCTAAACATATATAACGCAATATAGATATAGCACTATGAGAGTAAAAAAAAAAAAAAGTTATTTCACAATTATATAAAATTGAATATTGCACATTATGGATATTAGTGAGGTAATTAGGAGTATGGGATGTCAGTAGTATTGCACAATAGAAGTCCAGGGGTTTGGGAGGTTGGATTATTAAATCAGTGCATATGTGAGCTCAGTGTGGTGATGGCTTTCGGGAAAAAAAAACTGTTCTTGAATCTGTTTGCTCGTTCTGATGTTCCTGTAGCGCTTCCCTGATATCACTGCATCCCAGTTTATTTTAGTTGCAGTTCCTTACCATCGGACGGATTCTGCAGCACCAGGCTCTCCAGTTCAGACCACTCCGTGTTGAGTCTTTTCATCAGTTTGTAGGCGTTCACTGGGTGGGCCAGATAGCCCTCAGGGTCAGAAGTGGACACTCTGGTCAGAGCATCAAGTTTACTGGCCCAACTAAAGGAGAGAAGAAACAGTTCTTTACCTTTTTGTCAAAACATACATTATCTGTACATCCTAAAGAGTCACATGCTCATATTTACAATTAACTTCACTCGGAAAGACTGTTAAAAAAGTGAAAATTGATCTAGCTCTACAGCAGGCTGAGACAAAGCAGAAACTGAAAGTATTGTCAGAGAAGTCACCTTAATGAGTTTTGGAGCAGACTTTATATAAACTATATATTCATCACACCTGGTGACTGCTGGTTAAAGAGGATGTTAGTCATATTTTCCACTGGGCAGCCTGCACTAAGCAGTGTTTTATTTAATTACCACAGTTGTGACTTTTAAAAGGATCTAGTAGCTGTCACATAAAAGTCAGAGTAGAGTGTGTAATATTTCAGGCTGTGAAGGTCTGAAGTGGTAAAAAAAAAAAAAAAGGGACGTGCTTTATTCAAAGTATTATCAGTTTTAAATCAAGTTTTGTGAGTCACTGGTTTAGATTGCACCTTTTGACAGCAGCCAGCTTGGACTCCTCAGCTTTGATGTACTCCCTCAGAGACTGGACCAGCTCCTTTTCTGTGTAGATCAGGTCAGTCATTTGTCCTGCAGAGACACGGCCAGGAAGACATATTGTAAATCAGCCAAAGCTGTTACGTGATACTAAATAACTAACTTTAATCATTTAAACTTGGGTTTTGCTTTGAGAAAATATTACCAAAAGAGCTCTTAAAAACAAGCTGAGGTCAAATAAAAACCATCAGATGCATACTGCAGAGTTTGGATAGCACAGATTTACTAAGCAAACTCTAGCTAAATATTAATCCATGAACTAGTGAAGAGACGGTTAGTTTAATGGGCTTTAAACATTTCAGGAAGGCACTCAAGCGTCAGTAATTCATACACAGCAGATACAATAAAGCAACCAGAATAAGTGAGCTGTAAAGATCAGAAAGTTAATGAGTCGTTTCATTCATATAATGCAATCTGCTGTAAACATATATTGCTTTGTAATGAAATCCAAACAGTTGCAAATGTAAGTGAAAATGAAAAATCTGGACACGCAAACAAACAAATGAAATGGCCGTAACTTACCAATGGATGTAAAAACCTCCGCATGTGTCGTCCAGCAGCAGCAGAGCAGAATCCAGGGGATAAAAAACAGGAACTTCTCCATTCTGTCTTGTTGCACAACTTTAGAAGGCAGAAACACATCATGTAGTTATAAAACAAAGAATGAACAAACTGTTTTTTTTTTGTAAAGTTTTGTGCAGAGTCAGATTACCATTTATATTTAGGGTTTTTATTATCTTATAAAGGAAGTGGAACAGTCATTCTGTGACTTTCTTTATTCGTTATGTAAAGATATCAGTAGTTTTTCAGTACTCTGAGATGGCTTTTCACACAATGGTCCTGTTTCTAGAATGAAACTGCTGACAGTCTTGAAATAATCTAAAAACTGAAAAGATGAATGAGTCATGACCAGCTGCTGCGCCTCATTCTCAAAAAAAAAAAAAAACACAACGTCAGACACTGCATGAAGATTCATTTTTTTAGCGGTTAAAAATTGGTTCATCTATGAAAAGTTGTGCACAACTTGATGGTAAATTTCTCATTTCACAACTTATAAACTTAACATTTTGTGTTTGTGTAGAAAAAAGGCTGATAGAAGTTGATTTTTTTTTTTTTAAACTCACTGTGGCCACTTGATGACCAGTGAAGTCCATATAATTAAAACTAATTAATAAACGCCTTGCACTAAAACCTACCTCGTTTCATGTGAAACATATTACATCTTTAATAGAAAACAGAATATCTAACAGTAAACTAAACCTTCCTAAATATATATAAACTAGAGATGCACAATATTGGATATTTGGCCAATATCCGATATGTTAAAACTTATTTGGCCAGTAAACGATACCAATATTTTTTCTCTAGACCTCCTTACAGAGACTACATAGCTTTTTGGTCTGCTACCAAATGCAGATGGCAAAAAGGGGCCTGACAATGATGTAACATTTAAACTTGGATTATGTTTAATGTCAAAGTTATTCATGATATTTACTCTCTATAACACAATGACAAACTCGAACAGTGCAAATTTGTAAATGTTCACAAATCTAAACTCAACCTGTTCACAATCGACAAGTGAAAAGTGCATAAGTAGTAGTGAATTAATAGATATACTTGACAGTTTCTTAAATTATTAATTAACTTAAAACAGAAGCCTTTTATATTGGCGAGTTATTTTGATGGACTGTCCGATATTTAACTTTATGGTGAATTTCAGCCAATACCGATACCATGCCGATAATATCGTGCATCCCCAATATAAACTAAGCAAAAGCTTAGACAGGCGGCTTTAATGTGAGTAAAATCTTTATTTTATTTTACGTTTTTCTTCCAAAACTGCGTAAACGAGCTGGAGCTGTGTGTGTTCTTTATCCGCGGACCAAACGTTCTTTGTGAAAGTGGCTCTGCTTCACTTTTTACTCTTGGCTTTTGTTCAGCTCTCAGTGATGACTGTTTACGTGTCAAACAGACACACACTTAAACATCAGCGAGGTCAAGCACGAGCACAGCCACACACGCTTCAGCCTGTACCGCTCTATAATCAGAGAATCAGACTTTAGTAATGTCGGCTCAATGATAATCCTTTGGTTAGAAAGTCACATCAGAAATCACCGCACCTCTTTAACAACGGCTTACTAGACATTCTCTACATTTCTACGACTACAAAAACACTGAAGTTATTGCACGGAGCATAAAAACTTCAGATTTTTGTGAACAGTGGCACTAAAATGGCAAACACAGAATGAGCTCGCATCTATAGAGTAAAACTGCAGTGCACAGATAAAAAAAAAAAACTTTGCTGCCTATAATAGAAGTACTAGAAAAGGGTAGAATAAGGCTTTTTGCTTTGTGCTGCATGTGAACTGTAATCATGCAGATGAACTCAAAAGAGCCTATTTTCATCATTTTTAGCTGTGTAGAATTATAGTAATTACACTGGAATGTACCACACTGGGTGTTAGCAATAGCAAGTCACCACCTACACACATTTTAGAGTAAAACAGGACTTAAATTTGCAGAAACACTTTTTTAATTTTATCTAAGAAGTAAAAGAGTTTAATCAACTTTCCCAGCTCACACAAGTCATTCTGTATCCTCTAGTCTGGAGAGCTGCAGTGAATCAAGCTTGTTCACAAAGTAAAGAATGGACTTTACCTTGTTGCAACGTAGATTTTACACCAGATTTACAAAGAAAAGGATCACGGTTACTGATAGTAATAGTAACTCAAAGAAAAGTAGTTTTTTATTGCAAACATTTCCCTAGCTTCGCCTCTTTTATCTGACTGCTAATGGTTTATTTTTTTACTGAACGCAGGTCCAGAGAATTAATACCACAGTCCTTCAAACAGAAAATAAATGACCAGGTCTCCTCCCTTGTAATTTAAAGCCACATTGATTGCTCAGCTCAAAGCGCTGGCGCCTGTTGCCGCAGGCTGTAGCAGAAAAGTCACAATCTTGGAGGAAAATCCTCCTCCCCATGTTTCTGGGTCCTATTCCCTTTGCCCGGCACACTGAAGAGGGGAGGATGTGGTAGGTACACGTGGTTGTGTTTTGTCCACATCTAAAATCATTATCAGGAACATATAGTGTGAAAGTATCTTTACGTGTTCCAGATTTGTGCACATATGCCACACATCACCAATAAAGCCAAAAGATACAGTTTCCAAACTATGTAACTGAATATGAACATGATCTTATTTGCACACGGAGAACAGTTCTGTGTTGCACAGTTAAAACTGGAAAGGTTTATCCAGATTTCAGTTTATATATATATATATATATAT